CTACTAGAAATTGTTTGTTTTGTAACATTTGTTGAATGTAATGTGAAAGATTGCAGTGTTTATTTTGAAGGTCTGCAAATATCTGGTTGGGTTTTGGAGTTTCAGCTTGACGACAGATAAAGCCGTCGTCGTCACAGAGAAAAGAACCTGCGTAAATAAGATAATGAACCGACTGAACTTGCTTGGTGAGAGGTTCCTTACAAGCAATCAGGGGAAAGATGAGCTTTTTTAAAGGGGGAGTCCTACTTTGATCTCAGTGACTTTGTTAACTTTTGCAGCAGCCCAAAGGGACGTCTGCTTGTTTATGGTGCGTCCCTGCTCCACTACGCAGTCATCTGTTGTCGCAGTAATTTATTATTAGTTGCAAGCTAAAAGAAATCTTTTTTTCCTCTCTCTTTCTTTGATTTTCCTGAGTTTTTCTACAGATTTGATCCATGTGTCATCTCAAAAGCATGTGCATTGGCCACACTTGGTTTAACAAGTAGAACGAACAAATTATGACCTTCAGAGATCACTCATGCATGTCCTATAAGATTAAAATTCTTTGGATGTATTGAAGGATGAAAGCGTCTCATTGTTCCTGTACTTGTTTCAGAAGCGACGCATTGACATTTCTGCTGCAGTTTTTTTCATATAGTCAGTATTTACACCCCCCCAAGACCCTCCCCAAACAATGCATCTTTCATAGCTTTATTACTTAGTTGCCCTTTAAAGTGTTAGGAAGGAGGCATCATGTGGAAACGACCAGTTCTCGTGTTTGTGTCGCTCTCACATTCACGCCTATCTGGTTTAGTATCTGACAGGGAGCGATCAACTTAGCGTTTGCACGCCAAAGGGCCTCCTGTTAACATTGTGGTTTGCTTTGCTTATTCTCGGTTCCACCTTCACTCCTCGCCGACATCTGTATGATTGCAAGGTGACCAGGAACAGGTGGGCAGAGAGACATAAGATACACCTCATCTTCTCCTAACGTGCAGCTCAGACCGCCCTGTCTTTGTGTTCCGAGTAGGTGTGTGTTTGTGTTTAAGCTTAGGCTTACGCCTGTGTGTGGTGTGAGGCTGAATTAACAGTGGGCGTGTGGCTGTTTGCCCTGTCAAACATATCAGGGCGCAAGTTCAGCATTTACATGTGTGGAGTGAGGGGAAGTTTGTTTTTATTGGGGCGCTTCTCCTTCATCCCGAGGCTCGAAGGCTGGAATGGCTTGAGGGTCGTCGGGGGGTTTCTGTCAGGCTTTCCTCTTCAGTTTCACAAGCAGTGCTGCACCTTCTTCCTACTAAATATGTCCTTGCTCGGTACTGAATAACCGACCTGCCGTAACCTCAGACTCCGACATGGTTACTCTGTGAAGGAGTGACTCAAAGTTACCCCAGTAAACAATTATTTCTCTCATAGTTATTTTTTTTTTTTGTTTTGTTTTGTTGTTTTAGCAGTATGACTTACAAAGCCCTTAGTTACACATAAAAAAGAATCATTTGCTCTGGGAAATGTCAGCTTTGTTACTATTTTTGGTGGAATACACACCCTGATCACGGGCTAACTGGTTCGACGATGTGAGGCGACCTGATTGAATCTGAGTTGTCGTGAAAAGAAATACCTGCGAGGAACTGCGAAAACACGCCGAAACCGAATTCCTCTGCAAGATCCCGGCTCTTTATTAGGCCTGTGTTTGCTAACCGTTGTTTGTGGGGAAGGCATTTCCTTCCCAGCCCCTGCAGACCTGTTTTGAATATTTATTAAAGAGACAAAGCGCTGTGGGTTATTTGGTCTATAAATTCAGGCTTGATCACTACCATGAGTCTTCAGGAAGTCTTGGGGGCTTTTTTTTTTTTTAATTAAGTGTTTTATATTGGTGAGCTCTTATAAAGCTGGCTTCCTGCACATGCAGACAAAAGCAGCATGGTGTTGCCTCGGCATACTGTTGCAGCAGCATGCAAAGCTTTTACACAAACTTTACACGCCTCTGTTACAATACCAGCTTTTTGAGCCTCAAAAAAATGAAGAATTATTTGCAAACGTTTGCAACTTGATGTGGTCAATCTTGATGTGTTACAAAGTTTACAAAGAATCCAAATAAACTCGCTGTACAAAGTGCAAAAGAATTGCCTAGCATGCACATCATCAATAATTGGAGAAAATTTGAGACATTAACTCGACAGAGAGGGCTGATCACAACACACAGGTAGTTTTAACAGGTTAAAAATGTTAATTGCCTTGATAGGACGAAATCTGCTGTAATCTCTGCTTTTGTTTGACTGAAACTTTTTCTTCAAAAACAAAAACCTCTGCACCAGGAACCTTTTGGGGAAACCGGGTTACGGTTAGAACCAGGCTCCGAAACTAGACGTTTTGTCTCAGCGGGTAGAATAATTTGTAGGTCGAAATGCCAGTAGCTTTTCACCCCAAACGTTCATGTCTGCAAGTAACCTGAGGATAAAGAGGGACTTTGGCTTACAGAAACCACTGGGGAATGCAAATATGAAACCGTCTCAACAACAGATTGACTTAAGAAGAAAATTTAAGGTTTTGCAATGGCCTAGCTGAATCCAGAGGTAAAACTAACACAAAGTCTGAGGAGTCACCTGACAAAAGTTGTGCGTAGAAATGTCTTCATTACTGGGGATATTTGGAGAACCTTGCAGTGGGGAAATGTCACCAAGTCAGGCTGCGGGACCCAGACAAACCCCTAACAAATGAAGCTGAAAATGAATCATAATGTGCTTCTAAAAAGGGTGTCACCATGCAACCAACTTCTTTCACCAAAGCTTTATTTTTACATTCGACTGCCACTGCGTGTTTTTCGTGCGCATCCTTGTGGCCGTCCTTATTCAAGAGTTTTCCGTTCATCTTGTATTTCCAGCATCAGTTCAGTTTTGGGGCCAATACCTCTAAATATTTAAGTGGAGCTGAAACAACGTGGTAAATTGTTAATGAACCAGAGAACAGCTGGTTAAAACTTAACAAAGAACAACCTCATCTGTAAGGATGCGACGTCCTGATGGCGGGGTAGCGGTAGCTAAAAGGCGTAGTTTTAGCCGAGCTGCTTGTGGTTTCTTTGACTTTCATGAAGCAGTAGCTGAATCTCGTGTTTTATGTGTTCGGCTGTTTTTATTGGTGTAATTAGGACAACAACCTCTGTATTACTGCTACATGAATAGGCAGCCTGTATAGTGCGTTAGTGCGGTAACTCATTCAGTGCAGTTCACAAGAGTTTTCACTTCACAATGCTTGTCGCCTCAGGTTTTTTACACAAGATCAAGTAACTAAAGCACATTCCCTACCTACCTGAACCAACTTCAGGCTTGTCTGCTATTGTTTAAGTTATATTACTATGCATTGTACAAGCCTACAGCAGTCTTTAAAAGGTAAACAGCGCCAACTGCATCTGCTTGATAATACAAGACCCCATCTTGAATTAGTCTGGAGGATTTTTTTCTGTTTAAGCAAAGTATTGCTTTAAAAGTATTGGTTAGACTTTATGAACTAACAAACACATCATTACAGATACACAAAATTAAATAATGGTTGCTTTTTAATAGGGCTATAAGTACTTTAGCTGGACGTTGTCTGGTAAAGTTATGAAAGCAGAGTGCATTCACACCAGCCCTGTTTAGTCCGCTTTTCACCAAACTGGTTTGTTTGCCTCGAAAGTTCGGTTCGGGGAGGAGTGAATGCGCAATCGAGCTTTGATGCAGACTAAAGAAAGTCCTCCTAAAAGCTTAGGTGTCAGGTCGAAGTGAACTCTGGTGCGATGCGGATGCATGTATATGAACGGCAAGTGGACCGGAGACCGCTTCAAAAGCAGAAAGCGGACAAAGTGCAGGGGATTCTAAGTACATGCAACCAAAACGCACACACGCGTGTCTAAAGCTAGCGTTAAAAGTGTCTTGCGGTCTTTTGCTAAAGACAAAAGAGAACTCTTACAATAGCTAAAATCCATTTTTTTTTATATCTATCTTGTGAAGAAGGAAGTTGGCTCTGTGTCTTTTTCTGAGCTTTTTGGGTCATTTTCTTTGACGGTTCTTGGTGAAACGCCGCCACAGACGAGGAGGGGAACAGGTTTTTTAAAGGGTTTGGTTCCTTTGACTCGGTACAGTATGAAATCAAACCGCACCAGCTGAAAATGTAACACATGTTGGAATTTTGGTTCCAAATTGAACCAAGCCTACCATTATACCCGCTGTGAAAACAGCCCAAGTTGATTCACAAGTCAGCATCTGTTCTTTAGCTAAATGCTGGTGTTAAACCGGAGGACTAGAAGACTTGGACTGCATTTAATCACCTGTAGTTCAAAATTGGAAGTATTTGTTATCAACATTATCCCATGTTTCCTAACCCTAGCATTTAAAAACTCCAATCTTTTTAATGCTACAGAGAAGAATGTTGTCCAAAAGCTTCTTTAAACCATTCAAAAAGATCAGCATTTAATGTGAGTTTAGTGATTGCATCAAACAGGGTCATGACTTTGTACTTAATGTCTATTGATCTATAAACCGTAAATGTATCCTCAGCATTTTTCATAATGTCCTTCAGTAGCCGGGTCATGGATTGAGTTTATTCCTCCCTCTGTTGATCGTTTTATTAATTACATGGAATAACACCGTCTCTCTCTTGTACAGATGGGATGAGTGACGAAAAATGAAAAATTAGACTTAAATAATATTATCACCTATTATTTATTTGCAATTTAGCTTCTGCTTCTATAAATAGTATTGTTTTTTACTATGTATTTATTGGAGACAATATCGCTTTATCCCCCCTGCAGCTGCACTTTTTTGATCAACATTACTGATCAGGTATATCTAACGGGGCCTTCTATGAATTCAGACGTCTCCTTTTTATTTAACAAAACCACTGACGGAAAACAGCAGATGGTTTGAGAAGTGTCTGCTGAAAGGCAGCAATGCAGAAGCGGAGAGTCGCAGTAAGTGAGATCCTGCTGCCGTCTGGAATTAGGCCGCCAGACGAGGTGCCTGGACAAGCCAGAGATCTCACTGTGGTGGGAGAACTCCAGGGTGTTTCTCACACGGGAATACTGAGTATGCTCTGAGAAACTGACTGACTCACTGTTTAATAAAGCTTCAAAGAGAGGGGGGGAATAAAAAAAAGCATAATAAAGTGGATTACACCCCAGCGACCAGGTGCTGAAACTTTGTGCTTTGTCTCAACTTCTGTTATTGACTTTCTTTAATCAGTAAAACCCCTGCATGAACACGTAGAAGTTACATAAGTTTTTAAAACAAACGACAAAAAAAAAATCTTAAAAACTGTTTTTGTTGCTGTAATTGCGATGTGGGTATGCTTGTTGGCCCTGCGGCTGTTTTTCCACAGCTGTGGCGTTTCCAGGACTTTGCAGTAACTTGAACACGCATGCTTCGTGACGACCAACCGAGCCGGATACCGTAGTGGAGCTGGTAATTATCTGGTAATTATTTTTGTCTTCGAAAGAACGGTGGCGTCGTAGAAAAATCTGTGAATGAAGCCGTTCTGGTGGCTTAAGCAGCGCTCCGACGCCATCCAGTTTGATTGAGCCGTTTCTGGTCCGTAGGGGTTTTATAAATAGCTGTGTGCTTTCATATAAAGCCCACGTCGTGCGTGAGAGTGTTGGCGGTTCTCGGCTTTCGCTATCTGCTGATCGCGTGGTCAGAGGAGCAAATGTTGCCGCGCCACACCCCTCGTCTCCTCTCTGGCTCTGTCCGTACGCTCAGAACTGGTTCAGGTCCACTCAGCTGGTTTGATTTTTCCAGCGCTTCCCCTGAGCCACATCAATACCTCCCTTTGAACGGCTCTTCTAGTAAATATTCGAATGCTTCATAAGTTACTGTCTACAAAACGCTGCTATCTGAAATGATCACATTCTACTTGTTTTTTTTTTTTTGTTTGTTTGTTTTTTTGAACAGTGTCGTCTAATATTTCAGGCCTCTTTGTGCGTGCTTTTCTTGCACTGAACACCTTCTTGTTGCTAAAACTCCATTTCGCATGCGGTGTCGTAACATTAAACCGCACATAAATGAATAAAGGTATGAGCTAATAGTTGATCGCTGCTGATTCAATGTCAAAGTCCTGTTGAATCAACAAGCAGAAACGCTGATCTGGTTGCTTAAATGTTCTTCATGCATTTTAACCAGTTAAGTCGGACTCCGTCAGCCCCCCTCCGGACCTCTGACATAAGCCAACTCTTGTTAGTGAAAACTGAAAACACTGGAGCTCTGTGACGGCCTCTCTGTGTCTGTCCATCTTCACTCCCTGCAACCAAGGGCAGAGAGCTGGTCTGTCAGCAGAAACTCTTGAGCTGCTGCAAATCACCTCCATGCTTCAGCCTGCGTGTTTGGGTGTGTGTGAGATGCACGCTTGTTGTCTTCGTGCATTCACGTGTGGGCGTGTCATTAGGGCCGCCGATGGCAGGAGCGACCGCGCGTCTGCACGAAGCTCTCGCTCTTCTGACCTACTTTCCTTCCCGCCTCCCCACATCTGGCGCCGAGTGAATGCACCGGATCAAATGCCAGCCATTCCAGCTGCTTTCACACTGGCGCTGCATGCCCGTGCAGCCGCCGCTTTCATCCTTCTGTTTACTTCTTGTTCTGGTTTAGCATAAGCAGGCCTCTGGAAATTTGTTGCTGTGTCGAGGTTTGGGAGAGGCAGCAAGCTGTCTGATGGTTTTGCCTCTCTTCCTTGTTTTTTTTTTCTTTTTTTTTTTGTTGTTTTTTCCCTGTCATTGTTGAGTCAGCGGAGTGAAACTTGGGAAAGAGGGGAGCTAAGGACGATAAGTTTCCACTCAGCAGACAGCCGTCAATTCATTTTACAGACCAGGAAGCAGGTTCCCATCTACACTGTTACTAACGGCTCCCTTCAGGAAACTAATATGGAAACTCGGATCCTTTGGGGTTGTTTTTCTTTCGCTTCATCATGTTCGGTTTCCTCCTGTGGTTCTGAAGCCAAAGCAGTAGCTGCTGCTTTGGGCAACAAAAAAATAAAAAATAAAATAAAATATTAGGTAATCGAAACAAGTTTGTAAGTACAGCAGGGCTGCTGTGGATGAAAGGTGATTATTTATCACACACATTTGTTAATACCAGTTCAATAGTGTCTGGCCTTGTCACTTTAAAAGGAAAAAAAAAAAACTTTAAATATTGTTGTAACATTTCACGTATTTCTTCTTCTTTTATGGTAGGAATAGAGTGGCTTTGTTAAGTTGTATTGTCATTTTTCTTAGGACTGAAATGATTAATTATGATGAATTGATTTGGCAACTAATTTAGTAATCTATCCAAAAAAAAAAGGAAATTTGGAGAAAGTACAACATACTCAGAACAATTATTAAGCAAAAGCGCCACTAAAGAAAAATATATTTACGTATATATTTTGCATTAAGATTAAAGAAAACTTTTGTCTGTAAATATTTTCTGTCTTCATTTTTTTAGCTGCCGATGTATCCGTCGCTACAATGTTCAAGCGAACACTAAAAGAATGCTACGTTATTGCATTTTGGACAATGAAATGTTTTTTTTCTTCTTCTTCTTTAACAGCGGATTGAATTATTTGTTTATTTGCATATTTTAATGTTGTTCTTGTATAAAAAAAGACTTAAGCGGTTCACTGAAAAATCAGCAGAACATGCCGGTAGTAAATTACTTAAATAGTTATTAGGGTTTTTTTGATATATAGACTAAATACAGAATAAACACGTGCAAAGTTCAGTAGCAATTTAATTGTTTCCACAGCAGGTTTAATCATTTCTAGTCAGTTCATCACCGTCGTGTGCTGGAAAAACAAACGGAGAAATGACACAACTTCATTCAGCCTCACCCAGCTCCCTTCAAACTAGTAGATGCTGACAAATATGACTTGCATGCAGCCTTGCTCTCACACGATAGTGTTGAGGGACATATTAATAGTGGCCTATGCATAACTACTGCATGAAGTGTCTAACACAACGGCTCTTTGGAGTGTCGGAGTGTCGCATGCTTCTCTTCCTAATGGCCCCCGTGTGTCGTTAAACGACGCAGCGGCCATAAAACATTTGCCATCTTAAGAGGCTCACAAAGGCGAACACTGCATTTACGTTTGCCAGGTGGCATGTCGAGGTCCTCGCATGCAAAACGTGCGCCGTGGCGTTTCTTTTTAGCGTTTGCGAGCGCACGCTGCAGATGTTTTCGGAGTGGAACACAGTCAGACTGTCTCCTCTCGCCCTCCCTGCAGCTGTGTTGTTGTTCTGCGTGTGAGAATGATTCAGAGCGTGCAGACCAGTTCCTGCCGTACTATTTTGGTTGGTCTGACCTCGGGGAAAGAAGCACTTCCTTGAGCTCATCCCCTGCCTTCCTCCGTTTGCTCATAGAAGCTTGACGGAGAGACGGTTGGGTCGCCTTCGCATAGAAAGCCGCACTTAAAACATGTACGGTTGAAAGCGCGAGCATTGGACAAGCATACGTTGGAGTTGGGTTGCAGTTTTCTCACATCTTCAGTGGATTGCGATGTGATAGACCAACATAAAGTTTTGTATGATTGTGACGCGGAGGGAAGGACTAAATAATCTACTAATAAACATTCAAAATGTGTGGCATTTATTTGTGTGCAGGCTTATGTTTGAGCTTGAGACATTTTACAAAGAAAAACTGGCAAATATTTTCTCCCAAGACGGGGAAACATGTAGAGACATACCCTAAAACACTGAGGTCAAGTTTATTTGTAGAGCACATTTCAGCAACAATACAGATCAAAGTGCTTTTTATGTTTTTGAAAGGAGTAAACATTATGTTGTAATGCCACAATGAAAAATCATTGAGTAAATACACCTCAAGAATGCTGAACAACGTTCCCCTTACTACTAGGCAGCTCTAAGCAGGTGGGGTTTTAAATAATTCAGTGTTTCAGCATCTTTGCAGTTTTCTGCTGATGTAGCAAAATGTGGTTCTACAGATTACCTCAGAGCGGAGGAAGGTAAATGCACTCCACACGTTTTAGATTTAGATTTCTCAGAAAATATGAAAAATATGATTTTATTTTTTTTTTAAATCATTTTACCACTACTTTATTTTCATCAAAATAAAGTAGTGGAATTTTTTTTTTTCCAAAATTCAAGTTCAAGTTTGTGGTTCTTGGAGAGGTAACCCCATGAAGCAGGGCGCTGGGACGCTGGGATTATTGTTGGCTAACCCCCCCCCCCCCCATATAAACCTGTGATCGATCTCCCTGCTGCAAACTGCAGCAGCCTCGTTTCCGTGTGGTAATCTTGACAAAATCGACGCCCGTCTCGGATTGGCTGTAATCTTCTGGCCGATAGTAAACTCTCGGGGAATGCGAGAGCTTCCTGTTGACAGCGAGCGTTAACTCATACAGATGGTTTCTGAAAGAGGAAATTTGGTCTCACCACAGAGCTCTGCAGCTTCAAGCAGTTTGCCTCCGACGGTCCACACAGACAGATTTGCATATTCTGTGTCTGATGGTATAACTGCGACGTAAGCTGCTTAATTTGAGGTCCGCTTGCGCGCTGGACGGCGGTGACTTCATTTAACGCGCACTCGTCGTCATCGTCGTCGTTGTTGTTGTTGTTGTTGTTGTTGTTGTTGTTGTTGGGAGCGTATCGTGAGTGAGGTAATAGGGTCTGAAAGCCCTGCAGCAAAGCCGACACCACCTCGCTGACTGAGAGGACAAACTGGTTCCCCCTTTATTTCGTCCACCGTCGTTATCTTCATCTCTGTGAAGCGGATCACTGGCCAGAGTGGCTAAAAGCTAAAAAGGGCTTTGAATGTGCTTCGTGGTTTCTCTCTTTGATCCTAAGCAATTAATTAATTCAGTTCCACGCGACGATAAATCTGTAGATTATAGCTCATTTATTCGCGTGGCTGACCCCTCCGTCCCTTCCTCACGGTTTTGCTCCCACTGACCACTTTGTTCAGGCTGACCCAACAGAGGTGGGTCTGTGCCAGCCTGTGCTCACAGCTTGCCGTCTATGACTCCCCCTGCACACAGATGTTGATTTGTCTCCGACAACTGCCCTCGCTGTCGGCCCCAGACGATGCGCCAGCTCGCTGCTACCTAATCCGTCTCTGCGCTCGTGTATCAACAATTTCGACGGGCAACAAGTCCAGGGCGAAAGTGGATCGAGAACCAACTTCTCCGACTGGGAAAACAACAGAGGCTTTACGGTCAATTCTCCAGCCTCCGGTCAGCCGCAACCTCTTGAATTACAACCCACCAAAGAATTCAGGCTTCCCTGAATTCTTGGGGCTGCAATCCTTTTCAGTGCCTCTCTTTGTTTTGATACGCTGGACGTATATTTGAGTTTAGTTATTAGCTGCTTCTGTTGTCTGTTTTAGTTTTGCACAGATAAAAACCATAGGGCAACATCTTAGGCTGTTAATGTTTTAATAAATTGAAATTCTGTTTAATATCTTTGCAGCTAATTCAACATAGCTGATTTTTATTCCACCTAAAAAGTCTCCGATGATATGGCTCATGCAACACTTCAAACATTCGATTGCAGAATATGTTTTAGAAATATAAACACTTTTTAATTAAAAAGGGAAAAGGAGTGCTTTGAAAAAAAAAAGAAGAAAAAAATCAAGATATTTGCGAGGTTGTGCTTAAAAATGCGCTGAATAATTAAAGACAAGATTTCAAATATGTTTAGTCTTTTGGTTGCTCATGCTGTGCTCTGCTTTTGGAGTTCATGACTGAGACGAGAACTTCAGACCAGAAGCTGCAGCAGCCAAGACGGTCTTCCTCTCTGGCTGTCCTGGTAAAGGCCGGCAACCTGCTTTGTTTGGAAAAACTGTACTCTCTGTGTCACAAACACATGTAGAAAATTGTTAAAGCTTGAAGTGGTGAAGTAACTTAAATAATACAAAATGTTTCCAGTTGCCTTTTTGTAAATGTTTGATAAAAGATCATTTTAAATAAGTAAAAGAAAAGACAAAGCGAACTTTACGTGATGGTGTACGGGAGGAGTAAGTTGTGAATAATGTACTGAAATCTACTAAAAAAAATTGTCTGAACAGAGGAAGAATTGAGAGGATCTGAAGCATTGCAGTGATGACTAGAAAAAAAAAAATCGTTTATATATCAAACTGGGACACATTTACTCGCAAAATAAAATGTTTGAAAGTGCAACTTTTACAGCTGCAAGTTTTTAAATGTTGACAGATTATTCATCCAATTTGTTACAGTGTTGCTCTTGGTTTCATTAAATTTGAAGTGCACATAAAACAGTCAGATATTGTTTGGTGAGCTGAGTAAACAATGTTTTTTTTTTGCACATGTATCACGGAAGACCTACTGACCGCTGTGTGTTGTCGGTGAAGCTCAGAAAGCTTTTTATTCTTCCTGTCTTAAAGTTTTCCTGCTTCATGCCTTCTTTTTGTATGGCAAAGTGAATAAAACGTCCCCGATTCAAACCCTGCAGAAGTTTGTTGGTGTGTAGAGCCTCTGCTTAGAGACATTTATCATTTAAACCCGCTCACTGAGGCAGCATGCACACCCACCCAGACATGCACAGTATTGTATGTCAGGGACTCCATATCCTTTTGGTGTGTGGTTGTTATTGCTGCGGCCACTGGGCTTGAAAGGGGTGTTGACATTTGGCGCATGGCTGCAGCAAAGCCTGACATCTCCTAGTGGTGGTGTGGAAGACTGCATCCCCCAAAACCAGAGTGGACCGGAGCTGGAAATGTTTGTGGTTCGATCAAAGGAGGGCGGGTTGGTTTATAGAAACCGCTGGGTTTAAATGGTACCACAAACCGTAATGTATTACAGTTACATTAACAAAAAAAAAAGCATAATCGGACTTTGTCTCTGCAAGTAAAAGTTTGTCTTTATTTTGTTTTATTTTATTTTATTTTTTTTGAAGCGTTTAGAGCTGCAAGTGGAGACTGAACGAAGTTTCCTTTGAGGTCTCTGCTTTCAGCCGCTAAATCTCTTCGTCTTTGTTTCCCTTCTCACGTTTCAGTTCCATCTCCAGACAGGAAGGGGGCACTCCGACATCCACGACTCAGGGAAAGAGCGGGACTCATAAAATCTGTCTGGTGTGCTCTGATGAGGCCTCGGGGTGCCATTATGGAGTCCTCACCTGCGGCAGCTGCAAGGTCTTCTTCAAGAGAGCAGTGGAAGGTACGACAACGTCGCTGATGATTATTGGCATTTGTGTTTGCTGCTGCACGTGTTGGCCACTGTTGCCGTTGAGATATAAATATATTTAACAGGTTTTTTTGTGTGTGCCTCAGGCCAGCATAACTACCTGTGTGCCGGGAGGAACGACTGCATCATTGACAAAATCAGGCGAAAGAACTGCCCGGCCTGCCGCTTCCGCAAATGCCTGATGGCAGGCATGAACCTGGAAGGTACCGCCGAACCAAACGGCCTCCGAAGCAGGTCGTACGTTCTCGGTTTTTCAATGCGTAACCTGACGTCTTTCTGCATCTTTCTCCCCTGTCTTCTGTCCGAAAGCTCGCAAAACGAAGAAGCTGAATCGCTTAAAGGGCAACCAGAGCAGCAACCCGCCGGAGATGATGCCCTCGCCGCCGGTCGAGGCTCGCTCGCTGGTGCCCAAGTGCATGCCCCAGCTCGTCCCCACCATGCTGTCCCTGCTGAAGGCCATCGAGCCGGACACCATCTACGCGGGCTACGACGGCACGCTCCCGGACACGTCCACGCGCCTCATGACCACGCTGAACAGGCTGGGCGGGCGGCAGGTCATCTCCGCCGTGAAGTGGGCCAAGGCTCTGCCAGGTGAGCGACGGGCGTAGCTGCTCAGAACGAAACGGTGGTCTGCTGCGGTTTGACTCGAAACGGCGCTCGTACGCGTCAAATTTGCTGTTAGGAACTTTTAACGTCGAGGCTGATCCCGGGTTAACGGTGCATATTTTTTCTTCTGTCTCGCCAGGTTTCAGGAACCTGCACCTGGACGACCAGATGACCCTGCTGCAGTGCTCCTGGCTCTTCCTCATGTCGTTCAGCCTGGGCTGGAGGTCTTACCAGCAGTGCGACGGCAACATGCTCTGCTTCGCACCAGACCTCGTCATCAATGAGTAAGCACTGCACACTTACTTGGTGTTTTAAATGCTAATGATGAGAGCCGGAGGGAGGTGAGTGTATCCCCGCAGGATGCTTTTTTTTTTTGTTTTTTTTAAACAGGTTAATCAATCACCTGTCCAGAGTTGAGTTGTCAGGATGTTTGTAGCAACAAGTTGAGGACTTTGGTTTATTCTGTCGAGGTTCAAGAATCTCTGAAAAAAAAA